CTAACACACACTCTTATTTCAGCCATTCCAACACAATGTAAAATATCAGCCAGTTTGAATATAAAATATTTCATTCATTACAAAGTGGTAGCTGCCCTTCATGTTAAAACAAAAATACGGTTACATTTTAGACAGTGTTTCTAAGTCAAAAGAATTCTCTGTGAAATGTAACTCTCATTTTAGGGAATGTAGCATTTATGACCGATTAATAAATACATCACTAGCCTATGAAATTCCTACAAGACATCCACAAAGTACAAGACATTCACAAAGTACAAAAATGTCTACTAAGAAGGAGAGCGCTTATGTCTTTCACAATGCTGCTCTGTGGCAAGGACAGTGGAGGAGGGGGGGGAAAAAAAAAGTAGTCAAGCACACTGGGTAAGTTAGATGGTGAAGTGTCGTATGTGCAAAATCAAAATGCTATTTCATGAACGAGCTATCTAACAGCTTCAGTGGCAACTCCGTGGTAAATCAGTATTTGTTTTTCCTGCCAAAAGAGTACGGCTCTCAAGTTACTGATTTTTTGGACCATCTTTCAAACTACAGCTATCGTGTTTGACAAGGTCAGCAATAATCTTTTTTTCCCTGCTGCTACACAAAGTTTGGCTGTGTTCAGTCTACCTGGTCTTACAGCTCAGTGTCCAGCCTCACCTGCTTGATAACGTATTGAACTTGCTCTGACTGGAGAACAGCACTTTTAATAGCGTTTGGCTTGCAAGGTGAAAGTCCTTTGTAGATCACAGGAGTATAACATTTCATCGCGTATCTCAAGTCGCTGGACAATCGTCTTTCCTCCAAGATATCTTCAAACTCATCTCTTTTCTTTGACGTGAGCTCTTTCTGCTGGGAACATACAAATAAAGAATGAGACACTGTCTCGAGCCATTCAGTGGTCTGCTTGGCTACACTACCAAAATAACAGTGTGCAACACTTTTGCAATGTTTGGGGGTTTTTTTAGCTATCTACAGTGTCTGCATTCTACATTCCGAGTGCATGAACAAGTGTTGCCTGCTTGGAACAACGCCGCAAACAGAAAGAAACAAAAAAGAAAAGAAAAAAAACCAAACACCAACAAAAAAACCTCAACCCTTTCCAACTGCAAACATCCCTAAATCACCCTATGCCACATTACTTTATTTTGCCCAACAGGAAGAAGCTGAGAGAACACCTGGGCTTTGAAAGCTAAAGTGCCTTGCCTCCAGCCTCTCCATGATTAATAGGTATTAACTAAAACACCTTTGATTCCAACTCTTGCAGCTGCATGAAGACAATGCCATGAATGACATAAAAACACAGTCATCAGCACAAGAAAATAATCCCTGCTACTTTAAGTTGCATCTGGGACCTTGGTGGTTTGCGCTGGCTTTCATCAAGCTTGGACACAGGGTACATAAAACACAGCCAGGCGGGAACAAACCAAAAAAAACCTTATCAGCCACGTGAAGATCAAAACACAATATGGTGCGCACGCAGGTGAAAAGAGAGCACAGCCTCTGAGTAACCACCACCACTGCTAAGCAGGAAAACAAACGGTACATCAAGAACTAATCGTGGATCCGTCCTGCTGCAGAAATCTCAGTGACAAAACTCTTCCCCTTGATTCAGTAGGCATCCCCTGCGCTGGAGAGAGATGTCTCCTATTATCTCCTATATAATACCACAGTCTGTATGAGTGACCCCTCAATCTTTCCAAAACCGACATTGTATTTCTCTAAACTTCAAAACAGCAGCAATAGCCACCAGACAAGCAAGGCAACTGGAGCAAGCCTCTGTGAAACACAAATATAAAAGTATTGGTTATGATCAAGCACATTTATTAGAAGATGCTAAAATAAAATGCTTATGTCTTCCCTTAGAGCACCACTTGAAGTGTAGCACAGGCTGCATTTTCATTCATTCTGCCTCCTCTCCCTATATACAACCTGTGCAGAACCAGTCTGACAATGAAGGATAAAACATGTTGTTTCATGGGCTCTTACAGTGACCTTTTCCAGTGTCCAAAGGAAAGCCTGGCCAGCAAACAGCCGGGAGGACACCAGGAACAGATAAGCAAAATGCCCAGCAGTGGCAGCTGGCTTTTCAACCTTGGGAGAGGGAGTCAGGTTTCACTGCCAGCTGACCACAGCCACATCAGCAACACTATCAAAAACAGCTGACGTTTAAAGTAAGTAGAGGGCAAACATTTTGTTCCTGTCCATTCGTCAACACAAGATCATTTGGCAAAACAAAACAAAAAACCCAAAATCAGGAATAGCTCCACTGAAGAACCACAAAAAAAATCCTTCAAAGCCTCAACTGTATCAAAATCCAATTTCATTTTATCAGAGAACACAAATCCTACTATAATGTTTGACCTTCTCATTCTCTTCCCCACACAGCATAGTCAAATTTGGATACCATCCTTCTACTACAGTAGCATTTGGTAGATCGTCTAACGCCTCTCCACTATCATAGTTTAGAGGATTGTCCCACAGTAACTGCAGAACTGAGTCTCCAGGGACTCTTAAAACAATCCTATAAAAAGTATTAAACCCAGGCCCATATTAATTTAAAACTTTCAGGGTTTTTTTGCCTGTATGGTTTAGCACTACAGTTTTCAGTCTGTCTTCTTCCACAGCTTTCAACCAGTTGGTGTTTCGTAAGAGCCAAGTAAGCTAAGAACTATTAAGAAGACTGGAAATAGTTTGCTGGCCATCTGTTGCCATTGACACCTTATATCAACCCCCTTGATTAAAAATAAAACAGAAAAAACCCCAACCTTATCTCCTGTAACAGCAAAAAAGATAGCTCAGAGTAGTATCAGAAAATATTAGTTGGCTCTAAGTATACACCTACTTAGATGTGACAAGCCATCGCTCAGAAACTCTCACTTTTATTTCAATTACCAAAGTTTAAATCCTGCAACGTGCAACTACACGAAACTCAGACAAAGAAACCCAGCACTCAGCTCGGGTATCATCAGCCACATCAGCAGTCACCGCGCTGCTACAGCCGCTCCCCAACACGGCTCTGGTGAGCGGAGTTTTGCAAAGGCCACCTTAGATTGAAAAGTCACCTCTCTGCCACTGGCCCTCATTTCACGTTTCCAGATTTGACGTGCAACTGATTTCTCTCCGTGGCAATAGGTGTCTTCACGCCCTGTCTTGAAGTAGCGCTGAGGGAGCCAAAACACACGCACTTCACCAACCACTGAAGAAGAGAAACGCTGCTTTTACACATTACAGCCAAGCTGTTGTTCCAGCTTCAGCTGCCGACTGGTAGAGAACACATTTAGAAAATACGCCGTTGGAAACCTTGACATCAGCCGATTCAGTTATGTGAAAGCAATAAAACGGGAGCGCTCATGATGTGCTTGGGATACCAGCACGCAGCCAAGGAGACACCGAAGTTTGGGAATCTCTGCCGAAACCAGGCACTGTTTCCTTCTCTCCCCAGCCCCCTCCTCTAAATCCAAGTAGAAAGGGGGGTTTAGCACCCCACACCCAAATCTCCGTGTCTGAGGCTGGCATAGGAGCTACAGGGGGAAAACAAGGTCAATGATGTCATTTCCACCATGTAACGTGGGAAAACCTGCTTCAGCCACTCCATCCCTGTGACAATTTTCTAGCGCCGAATTCGTCGTCGTTGGTGGGTTTCTGTCCCACACGACAGCCGCGGGGCTGCTCCGCAAAGCGCCCCGTGCTCGGACGCCTGCCGCCCCAGCCAGCCTCTCCGCCAGGCCTGGTTGCAGGGCTGCTGAACAAAACCTCTCTGAAGAGGAGCCCGAGCCCCTTCCGACCTTTCTCAAGCCGGCTGGTGTTTCACAGCATGTCTGAGGGGAGGAGTGACGCTTGGGATCAGGCGCTTTGACTGTCGCGACTGACACGACAGGTACT